AATCACTTCCTGCGAGGCTCTGGCCTGGGTACCGGTAGTCCATGGTAGTTAGCGACAATACGGGCACCCAGGCTACCGAAGCTCCACGACTCAAGAACTCAGTACATACGTACAGTGCCGATTCAAAACTTCGCAAAAAGCCAGCATGTGCCGGCTTGTCGTATACGTCACTTTGTACTGCTGCAAATTCACAATATCAGCTTTGTATTCCTGTGGTTTAGTAGCATTTTTATTTTTTGCCGGAATTTTTTTCATTCGCCCTACTTTGGAGGTCTTCAGAGGATGTCATCCATACAATTAAGTCGGTGTGGCCTTAGGTGGCTTTAAAATTTGGTAAGGACATAGCTCAAGTCGTTTACCACACACACACAGGAATGAGTAGCTGCGTTACGTCCGCTATGAAGTATTTCAGCTTAATTGTGAATATTGATTCCGCATACGGGGTAATTTTCCGCTAATAAAAGTCTAATTAATTGTCACTTTCATGACTAACGAAACGTGTTGTATTCGAGATTCAGAAACGGGATTTTGTCTTTCCATGATAGATTAAATGTTAAATGTTTTCTTCCATATTCAGTAATGGGTTTTCGTCTTCATAGAAACTCCAAATCATACACAACAAGAGTTCCACGATCTCATACCTTCGCCAAATGATGTTAACCCTTGCGGTTGAAGAATTATACAATTTTGATAATTGATTTTGCAAATAAGATCCTCATTTGCATGGGTTATATCAGTTGATCATATTCTCCACCCAATGACAGTCTTATCTTAACAAAAAGGCTATTATAGCACTTCCTCATAAATTATGCAAATGAGGTCATGATTTGAATAAATTATGTTTATTGATGTTAGCCTTCACATAACTTCCAAATGTGGCAAGTATGAAATTCTCAGCAGTTACAACTATGAAATTATAAAAATTTCCCATTAATTATGCAAATTAGGTCTTCATTTACATAATCTATATCCTCAGATGTTTTTTTTTATTCTCAATTACATGTCACAAGTGTTTCATAGTCCTATTATCGAACAAAGCAGATTTATAGAATTTCCTCATTAATTATGCAAATTAGCTCCTGATTTGCATAATTGTCATTTGATTATGTCAAGCATCCCTTCAGGTACCTACATACCAAAAATCACGACAATCCGTCAACCGGTTCTTGAGTTATCATCCTTCGAAAAATTTTCAACAAATGCTCCTGCAGTTCCAGAACAAGCCACTAGGGGGCCCAAACTCATGTCACTTCTTCCCTACCTCAAGAGCTATCTACCAACCAAAATTCGTGACCCTAGCATGTCCAGATCGCGAGATATCAAAACCGGAAGTTCTGCTGCAGTACCAACAAAAGCCGCCAGGGGGCCCAAAATCTAATCATTTCTAGGTCTCATCAAGACCTACCCACCTACCAAGTTTCATGACAATACATATTAAGCTTCTTGAGTTATGCTGTTCACAAACAGACAGACAGACAGACAGACAGACAGACAAACGCTACTGAAAACATAACCTTCTTGGCGAAGGTAATTATAGCCAGGACCATTTATTTGTTCAAAATCACCCACTATGTCACAAAAACATACATATTCAATTTGATAGAATTTTGGATTAAATTCTTGTTGGCACCTTACATATACTTGTAGGAACTTAGTAATCGTCGTCAAATGAATGGATATATGTATTGACTAATTTAATGATTACCTTCGCCAAGAAGGTTATGTTTTCAGGGGCGTTCGTGTATGTGTGTGTGTGTGTGTGTGTCTGTCTGTCTGTCTGTCTGTCTGTAAACACGATAACCTGAGAAGGCCTTGATGGATTGTCTTGATACTTGGTAGATGGGTAGGTCTTGATGAGACCTCAAAATGATTAGATTTTGGGCCCCCTAGCGGCTTGTTATGGTACTGCAGCTGAACTTCCGGTTTTGATATCTCATGATCTAGACATGCTAGAGTGACGAAATTTGGATGGTAGGTAGCTCTTGTGCTGGGGAAGAAGTGACGTGAGTTTGGGCCCCCTAGCGGCTTGCTCTAGAACTGCAGGGATATATTCTTGAAAATATTCAAAAAGGGGATAACTCAAAGAACCGATTAGACGGATCGTCGTGATTTTTGGTATGTAGGTAGCTTACGCGGTGTTTAATATAATTATGTGACAATTATGCAAATATGGATGTAATTTGCATAACTTATGGGGAAATTCTATAAATCAGCTGCCATTCCAATGATAGGACAATTGAAGCTTGTGACATTGGTAATTGACAATGAGAGAAACACAGGAAGATATTGATTATGTTAATAATGACTTAATTTGCATAATTAATGAGAAAATTTTATAATTATGTAATGATAACTGCCTGGAATTTCATACTTGTGGTATTTGAAAGTTTAGTTGACGTGAACATCATTAAACATAATTTATTCAAATCAGGACCTCATTTGCATAATTTATTAGGAAATGCTAGAATGCATTGTTTGTTAATATATATAAGACTGTCTTTTGGTTGAGATTATGATAAAATGATATATTTCATGAAAATTAGGTTCCTATTTCTTAAATCAGGGGGGAATAATCTAATCTATAATTTGTCAGTCATAAAGTTTAACATCATTTGGCGAAGGTATGAGATCGGGGAACTCTAGTTTGTTATATTTTTATCTTCTTGTAGCCAATCCTACTTATCTAGTTTGGCTCACCGTATTGTTTCACTACTTATGCTAAACTCAATTATTTTGTTAAATTGATTCATTTTTTTCATTGTACTTGTTTATTATCTTTTTATTACTTCTTCATTGTTATTTATGTTTATAGTTAATTCAACAAACTGTAGAAATTGTAAAATCATGAAGGGGAGGACTTTAAATAAGCCATTGCGGCTTTTCGTCCTGCCCTTGCACATTTATTTCTTTTGTATTATTTTGTATGATTTTTCAGTATATGTGTGTATGTGCTCAATGAAAATAATAAATAAATAAATAAAGATGGTCTGGCAATGTGTCTGATTACCTCACAGTATCCCCAACGTATACGCAAAACAGCCAAGCCCCTTAAACACGGGGATGTCCCACTTTAGCCAACTGAGAATTACATTAAATTTTTACAACCTCTAATTGCATAAGACTGTAATTTGTACTCACCATATTTACCACGCCATCTCAAACCAATAAGGCAAAATCACTTCACTTCATAAATCACTAAAACCGGTATATGAATAAGAAGATAAGATAATTAGTACTAGTGGTCCCAGAGAAAGTAACATACATAGGAGGGTACCGGACTTAAAGAGGACGCTATAGCTACCTCAGCTATTTAGTAACGTGTGTGGCGTCGGGTGGCGTAGTGGTAGATCATTCGACTGTGAACCGGGAGACCCGGGTTCGAATCCCCCCCCACCCC